AGCAGGCCGACGCGCCACAACTCGCCCGTCTTCTCGTCCAGATGAAAAAGGTCCTGACCGTCCGGCAGATGAGCACCGTTGCCGACCAGTCGGTAGGTCAACTCACCATTTCTGCCGGCGTCCGCATCGGTTGCTTGAACCCGGCCGACCAGAATCGGCTCGAGGCCCGCCCGGCCCGGCTCTTCGGGCCCCGGGGGGCCGGGATAACCGAGTTGTGCCTGGCCGTCGACCTCGGGCACCAAGAAACGGTAGTGACTGCGCGAAAACACCGGGGCTTCGTCGTTCACGTCGAGCACGAGGAGGGAGAGGAGTGCAGTGCCAGTCAACTCGAGACCGGAGCGTGGGACCAGGTCGTTAGGCGCGTCGACGCAGGTCACCTGAAGCCGGATCACTTGACTCCGTTCCCGGTCGACTGGAGCGAGGGCAACGACGCGGAACAGATGAACCGAATCGCCGGACGCCACGCCCAACTCGCCGGGCAGTGCATTGATGCGGAAGCGAGAGTCGTTGCCACGACAGTGTACACTGGGCCCAAGCTCGAGTTCCGATGAGAGTCCGGGTCTGGACAGCCAGGCGGCCTGTGTCTCTGGCAACCGGTCGCCGTCGGTCACGGTGAGGTGGGCCACAGGCGTCGGCTGCCCGGCCGGCCGGTTCTCGCGCAGGCTGCCCAGAAGCGCCGCGGCGCCCGGACTCGAACCCGGCGCCGGTTGCGTGTACTGGACGGTGATTTGAGGCGGGTTGTCGTTGACATTCTCGACTAGGAGGCGGAGTCGCGTGCGGCCCGTGAGTTCTGGAGCGCCACGGTCCACCGCCTCGACGGTGAACTCGACGAGTCGACCGGTCACGGGCTGGTCGGTGCGCGAGAACAACCACGCCGACGGACTGCCCTGGTCGGCGTCGAGCGGTCCACGTACCGAAAGGAGGCCGGTCGCGTTGACGGTCTGCAGACGGAGCCAGCGAAGCGCGAGCGCTTCGCCGTCCGATCGCGGCGGCTCGGCCAGCCGGTAGACGATCTGTCCGTTGTCCGCGTCGTCGGGGTCCTCGGCCACGAGGCTGGCCAACCGCGTGTCCACAGGCACCGTCTCGGGCAGACGCACCAGCTCAGTCTCCCATCGCGGCGGCGCTCGAGCTGCCAGCAGCCGCGGCGACGAGTCGGACCCGGCGCCTCCGAGGAGGGTGGCCGGGCCGGCGGGAAAGTGGAAGTGGACTGCGGTGAAGATGGGCGCATTGTCGTTGCGATCGGCTACCTCGAGACGCACCGTCAGGGTGCCTGTGCGCTGCGGACTGCCGGCGTCCACGGCCAGCACATGCAGCGTGTACGCGGCCGTCCGTTCGCGGTCCAGCCGGCCCTGGACCACGAGGACGGGGCTCTCGGTGCCCTCGAGCCGAAACAGCTCCAGCTCGACCTCCGCCTCCGTCTTCAGCCGGTAGGCCTGGACCCCATTCTCCGGCAGGTCGGCGTCGTAGGCGGCTGGCAGCGCGAGTCGCACCGGCCGATGCCCGTCGACGTTCGAGTCGGAGTCCGCGGCGCCGAGGCTGAATGGAGTCCCGAGTCCGGCCGGCTCGAGAGACTCGGGCACGCGAAGGGTGATGCGACCGTTGCGCGAGAACTTGGGCGCATTGTCGTTCACGTCGAGCAGCCGAAGGAGGACACGAGCGTAGCCGGGCCGGCCACGGTCGTTAGGGAGGAGGAGGAGAAGGAGGCTGAGGTCACAGGTCGTTGACGACTGGGGCTCAATGATGCTGACGACCGCATTTAAACGAGCCGACAGATCAGTTTGTCCACACAACTCTTCACGATCTGGTCCCCGTTGTCCAGGTTTCACGATCAGTTGCCAGGCAACCGGAGTGCCCGAGGAGGGTGTCTGG